GACAGAGCATGAACGGGGGAGGGTCAGAGAGAGAGGGAGACACAGAATCCGAAACAGGCTCCAGGCTCTGAGCTGTCAGCACAGAGTCCAACACAGGGCTCGAACTCACGGACCACGAGATCATGACCTGAGCTGAAGTCGGACGCTTAACCGACTGAGCCACCCAGGTGCCCCAAAATACACTTTTTAAAGAGCATCACAATTTGGTAAAACCATATCTAAAAAAAAAAAAAAAAAAAAAAAAAAAGATGGAAAAAAATGCTTATTTAAATGCTCATTTCTAGAACAAAAGGGAATGCAATTTTGACAATATCAGAAGGTTAATTAAGAAGTCTGTTAGCAATGATAAAGCTGGCACATTTTCAGTTTAGATTGACATGACTCAAGACATAGGCATAGCTAATGTTTGCTCTATAATACTTTGTTAAGACACAGAATCAGAGAGAGAGGCTCTGGTATCTATTGTAAAGGGAGGGTTAAGAGCTAGAAGGGCATTTGGTGGACTTGCTTTCCGGTTAAAGAAGCCTGTATCCCAGACTAGCTGCACTCGTTATTTTTGTGATTTGGATCCAATAATAGTGATAAAATTGGAATTGGTTCATTCAGGAAACTGTACAAACTTTCAGGATGTGTTTTAAGTGTAGTCTGTAAGTTGGCTACTGCCTGGGGAAGAGGGGATTTGAGGATCTTGGAGCTGGAAAAGAGTGTCAGGGTCCTTTATTTTGGCCTATATCACCAATATAGAGATCCTTCCCCATTACGGTGGGTTATCACTCATTCTTTTCTTGAAGACCCAGAGTGAATGGGAGGTTATGGCTTTCCAGGGTGACCCGTTCCACTTGGGGACAGTTGTACTCCTTTTGTGCCCTATCTAATTGGAAAAACAGGGAAGTTTTCTAAAAACATATGTTTAAGAAAGGAAATATATATACACCTATATACATTTCAGGAAACATCAAACACCTATATGTCTGTGTTCTCCTCTAGAGAGGCCTGGGGATTTAATACCTGAAAAAAGTTGGGCACCCAGAACAGTCTCTAAGTGTGTTGGAAATGATGCTTTGTGCTTAGCTGTTTCGGCACATGTGTAGATCAGCAGTATTACTTGTCGATGAGAAAGACTCTAATGTGGCTGCATTACATACCCAGTGATTAATTTCAGAAACAAACAGCATGTCAATAATAAAGGAGTCTTTGAGATGTTCTTGAGGAAGCCTAAAACTTGACTCAAGGACCTTAAATTCCAGGGACATCCCACCCGGTTTAGAGAGCTCTGCATCAAAAGTTGGTACCCCACTGTATATAGAAATGTAAAGTGACCAATGTATAACCTTAAATCAAAACCATTCCTGATTTACTGCAGGTTTTTAATGAGACCTGAAAAAATAAGATTCATTCTTTTTCATTCAGGCGTCAAGAAACATTGCAGCCTAATAATGCATAAGGCATTTCTGAGGAGATGCCCAAGTGGAGATGCTGGGTCTAGAGAGACCTTTATGAAACAGAACAGGTTAAAACACCTTTCACCAGAAGAGCACAGGCATTTGAAAAGACTGATCCAGAAGAGGGCAACACATCACATTTGTGAGCCCAGACAGGGAAACAGAGTCCAGGTTTACCCCACCCATGCAGTGTGCCACAGCTGCTTCCTCAAACATTTCAGCTTTTATGAAAGTGGTGAGGACACCATCTGTCTGACATAAACTGGTTTGGATGTTGTCTAGCGCAAAGAGCGCCCCGTACTTGATAGAAAGCCTGGGTCTGTTCCCTGCCCTGTCAGTGAGGGATGTTGGAATTCCACATGAAGGGATTCTTAGGGATGTCCTGGGCTTGCTCTGTTTTGGACAGTTCTCGTCCTGAAAGAGGTGAATCTCAGAAGGGACAAAAGTCTCATAGCCAATCTGGCTCTCTGCCAGCGGAACATGCTTCCAGCTTCCGTGCCTCCTCTTACCCCAAGACAGCATTGTCTTAAACTGGGCTGTGTCCTCAAACCACCTGGGGGACTTGTTAAACATAGATTGCTGCATGTCTCCCACCTCCAGGTTTTTATTCAGTAAGTCTGAGAATTTGTGTTTCCAACAAGCTCCGAGCCACGCTGATGTGCTGTGCTGATGCTGGGCCTGAGGCTGCCCTAAGAGAACCACCAAGGAAACAAAAGAGAGCAGAACTAGATTTCCCACTTTCCAGCCAGCTACCTGAGCCCACCACTCCCTGGGGGAAATGGAGAGAAAAGGCCCTCAAAGGGGTGGGGGGAGGCAGGCAGGTAGAGATGCTCCTTGAGTGTGATGCTTCAAAGCATTAATTGTGAGACTTTGCCTAAAACATGATGAAATCACTGAAAGCGTCATCGCAAGAAGTTAAACCCTAAGGAGGCTATTAACAACTTAGCATTTCCAGTTCCTGTGGGAATGTCGACAACTTACCAAGGAGAATGTGTGCAGAGGCTGCAGAATCAGCTGGGTTCCCCATTGCCTGTGCTTTGACAGTCTTCCTGGAGGAAGAGAAATTCAAGTATGAGTCTCTCAGAAAGACAATGTCAATAGCTTGTTAGGCTGATAGGAAGGGGTGTGTCCCTCTTCAGCTGGCCAAATTCTGCAGGGGAAGCAGAGGTAGAGGGTGAAAACCTTTGGGGGGGGGGGGGGGGGGTGGGGGTGGGGGTGGAGGGGAGAGCCAAGAGGCTCAGGAAGCAGGTCAGGTGTTGTTGTTTTCCAATTTTGAAACCAAGTCAGTTCATTTGGACCCTTTGAAAGGCCCTCTCAACACCCCTGGGTTGGACTCCCTCCTGAGAGGTTGCAATGAGAGAAGTTGTTTCTCCTAATGGGTCAATGAGTGCCTCTTAACTGGCACTCCTTGGGCAGGAACCAGGGGGAGGAGATAGATGGATCTCCCAGGAAAGAGCACTGGTGGGAAGCAGGAGAGTAATTCTGATCTTCACTTTGTGGTTAACTATCAACATAGCTTGTGGGCTAGTCACTTAATTTCACAAGCCCTCAGTTTCTCCATGTGTAAAATGAAGGCGTAGACCTGATGATCTTGAAAGTTTTTCACAATTCAAAAACCAAAAACAGGTCATGGTACCAGATACCCAGATAGTCTCCTCGAAGAGCCCTTGCTTTGCCATGTGGCCTGGCCCACTTCCCCACAGGGCCCCTGGAAACTCAGCCATGTGTAGACATGGTTACCAACCAGACATAAATGCAAGTGGTCAGGCCTGGGTTAGGTTAACATTCCTCTCATTTCTTGCTGGAGGCCTATCAAGGCACCTCAGCTTCTCCTCTCAGACTAAATGGCAGGGAATTTAAAATCAGACTGTCCCTGTGCAGGTGTCCAAGTACGTTGTTGCATTTCTGCTAGGGTTACGGAGTTACCTCAGTTGTGTGGGTCTCTAAGAAAAGGATCTCAGTCTTGGTGACAAACCAACTTCTGAAATGGCTAAGACGAGAACAAGTGCAAAAATGGATTCTCAGATTTCTTGTTGAAAAACACAATGACTAAATCTGTAGTTAATTTTGCCCTATACTCTCAATACCCTGTTTATAATATACACAGTCAACTGAAGACGTGCTTGTTTTTTAAGTCCAGTCTTTGCACTTTTGCTGGTTCATTTTGTGTCATTAATTCTGTTTGGGGCTGGAGAGAAGGACATGCCTGTGTAGATGGACTCAGGCTAGGCAGGGCCTCCACAGCAGCCTCCCTTTGCAGGCCTGTAACAACATAGCTTAACAACAGAGCATAAGAGCTTCCATGAGCAATATGCCATTGTTACCCACCATGCTTCTCATGAAAGGAAACCTTGTGCTGACTGCCCTGGCTGTTCTTGGCAGTGTGAATCTATATAAGGAGAACAGGATGTATTTTACACTTGGGACCTGCTATCCTAGAGTATAACAACAACACTTTTAAGTGCTCTTAATATTAAGCTAATGGAAAACATACTCTGTTTACTCACCATCAAAGTCTGTTTTTCTTCTCTCCCTCCTCCCCCAATCATCACAAACTCCAGGCCTCTAGAACACGCTGGGTATCTCCTGCTCCATCTATCCTACCCTCTGTCTCAAGGTTGACCTCTACATGCTTGGTTAGCTCAAGGTGGACTTGGAAAAACTAGGAATTTACCACACAAACCATATAATCCCCAGGTTGCACAAACCAAACATTTCCTTTTTCACCAAAGTCTCAGAGCTAGAAATGCTTGATTTATTGCTAGTATTATGTTTATTAGTGTGAGAAGTCATTTCTCCTCACCAGAGTGCAACAAAATGCAGTAGAAGGGAGAAGGTGGGCCACTTTTTCTGGGTGCTGCTATTATCAGAACGCTGGTCTATCCTTGTTATTTAATAGTGGGATTCCTCACCCTGAAGACGGGGACTTGGCCAAAGTTATCGTAACCCCAGAAGTCTAGTATTTATTCTCCACTACCTCGTGTTGTAAGAAGCCATGTCTATATGGGGTATTTCGCTGATGGGATTCTAGAGTGTGGCCCAACCAAGTCCCGAATGTCTAAGATTTCCCTGTCTTTGGAGGTGCTATTTGAAGTACATATTGTTTTTTGGTTGGGCGTGTCAAGTAAAGTAAATGTATGCATGTAAACCAGCCTTGCAGATAAATCCCTCCATTTTACCAGTCTACCCCATAATATTGCCAATTTCCCCCTTGCTATTTACATATCTCTTATTATAAGACAATAAACAAACAATAACAATCAAGCAAATGAACCAAAGACTCCCCCACCCCTGCCAAAAACAAACCCCTTCTGTTTTGTTGAAAAAGACTAAAATCAAAAACAAAACAAAATTGTGGAAATAACTTCATCACAGTTTTTTTGGGTTTTGTTTTGTTTATTTATTTATTTTTTTGATATAGGCCTTGGGCCTGTTAACTATCTGCAAGGCTGTTGTAATGATGTTAATCTATTTTAATGGAATTGAAATGTGATATCCTGTGGTTTACGATGCACATTGTTTATAGCTTTGGTGCTTGATTTTGGGTTTCTTTCACAGATAAACTTCTGCACTGGAGGGGCCTCTCCTCCCCTCGTTCTGCACATGGAGCTCTAATCCCCACGCCCGGGATGAGTGCAGAATATACCCCGCAGGGTATTTGTAAGTTGAGCATTATTTCTTCTACAAATGTCCATGTGTATAGAGATGAGAGTTTCTGGAAATTACCCTTACTTTTTAAGTACTGAAAGGAGTTACTTCCAAAATAGATTGGCATCCACATATGTATTATTCCATTACTCACTTGGCACCCTCTCCCTGCTCCACTCAACCCCCTCCTCTTTTTTGTGTCATTCCCATGGAGCTGACAGTAGCTCATCCCTGTGGGTCTCCTCCCCAGGGTCTTACCTGGCTCCACAGCTGGTGACCATAGATCTCTGTGTGTCCAGGGCCCATTTTATTGCTGGACATTCACTTCCATGGCCTCATTTAGGACTTTGAGTTTATTCCATGGCATACCTGTTAGCAGAGGCCAGAATCAAAAGAGGTCAGTTTAGAGTTACTCTACAGTTATTCTCATGCATGTTATAGATGCATTTACATGTGTATTTAAACATGGTATATTTGTATATATACATGGCGCGTTATATATGTGCACACACAGACGATTTCTACGTGTTTTTCTCCTAGTTTTAGAGAAAAATGCACAGCATTGTTGCTTAAATTCAAAGATACCACTACCACCACCATCACCACCATTAACACCATCCGCTTATGTGTGCAAACCGACTTTTATCTTTTTATGAAATTCAGATTTATATGTTTATGAAAATATTTTTGAAAGAGGTTGTTCTAGAAGGTAATACAGTTTGCTTTTCTGTGTAGTAATAAATGATATGAGTCATGCATGGCTAAAAAGTTGGGTGGGGGTAGGGGTCGATTCTGCCCCAAACACAAAAAAGCAGGTTCAAGGAAAAAAAAAAAAAAAAAAGAAGTGTGACACCTACCTCATTTTTATTTAAGGAATTAATTTTTATTTCGAAAGTCAGTGAAAGGTTACCTGTTGTGGAAAGAAGAAAAGAAAGAACATAAAGAAGAGCATAATGGTGGGGAGTTCAGCCATACAGGGGACCTGGTTTTAGATGGGAGAGATAAAGTACACCCAGCCATCTTGTGAATGGTGTCTGCCTGCAGGGCAGGGCATGCTCCCTGAGACCAAATTTGAAGCCAGTTGTTTATTTTGTTAACTCCTAGGTAATCCTAGGTAACAAAGAGTTATTGTGTGAATTTCACAAGTCCTCAAGTCCTGAGGGCTGGGCGGTGCAGGGGTTAAAAGCACCTCTTCTGCCATCCCCTCCCCGACACGAAGCTGGGCCTAAGACTGGGTTAGGTCGCCGATTGCAGAGTTTAGGGGGTTGGACTCACAGTTTCGAGTCCCTACATGCTGGCTGGGTGGGGAGAGCTCTCCTCCTTTTGCTGGGGGTGCCTGGGGCCCCGCGCTGGGCTGTGGGAACAGAGCCACCCCCTTGGAGGGAAGGGATGAGAAGGGAGTAGGGCAGCAGAGAGGAGGGTGGAGCTGAGTGGCCAAGGGCTGCTGGCCTGGGAATCAGTTCAAGGTCTCTGCCTCTTCCGCTGACCCTCCTGAGGGCAGGGGTGGGAAACTAGGAGCCTGCTGCAGAATCCATGTCTTCTCCCCCTCTTCCTGCAAAGGGAGGGTACCTAGTTTGCTGGTGCCCATGCTGGCAGGACCAGTTTAGGAGTGACCAGACAAGGTATGTGGAAATGGGTTGTGGAGTTCCAGAAAGCATTCAGCAGAGCTGACCCCCAGGCCACTCAGCTGCCTTAACCAGCTGCCCTTGGCTTTCAGAGCACTGAGCACTTAGCACTTCCCTGTGGCATCCCTCCTGGTGGACCACAGTCATGGGCCTTAAAATGGCCCCTCCTGCCACCCTCTAGCCAGGACCTCCCTCCCTTTGGCCTGAGGCCTGGATTCTAGATTCTGGATTCCAGCCTTCTTCTGGAAGCCTTTCTGGGTGTACAACCTGGTCAGTCATCATGCTAGGTAACTAATCAAGCCTGGGAGTAATGAAAACTCACATTCACCTTGGACCTGGTAGTTTACAAATGGCTTTTATACACGTCTGTCATTTGAACCTCACAATTCTGTAAGGTACTGTTTTTATGCTCATTTTACAGCTAGGAAACCTAAGGCTCAAAGAAATTAAGTGTCTCAGAGCCCGTAAGCTGGCAAATAAATAGTAGAGCCAGGCCTCTGGTGTCAGACTTCCTTGTTTTTCTCAATCCTGAGGCTTAGATCACATGACTCTTTAGCATTGGTGACAAACTAAAAATGGAGTTATTCCTTCCCATACAACAAAATGAAATAAAATAAAAGCTGGTAGGTGAACTAATGGCTGATTTTAACTATTTGATGCCTGGAGTTCCTATGCTTGGGGCCAGGACTCAGTTTATTGCTCTAAATCAAAACAATTCCCGTGAATGCCCAATGAGGCTCTCAAATTGAGAAGTTGATTTTCGTCAGAGTAAATGAAGAATATTATTATATTTTACACGTCAATAAATCAATGTAGCCCTAATTTTGCCACGCAGGAAATCAATTCTGGTCTTTCTAACCCATCAAAGATGTTATGAACAAAGTAATTTCACAAATTATGGCAAGTAACACCTTTATTGATGACTGCAGTTTAGGAATTGAGAATCTGTGCGCACTGTAATATAATATGGTGCACTGGCATGAGCTGAGTGAAATACAGATTATATGGTGAAACTGTAATGCATCATTTGCTATTAGTGGACTGGTAATAATTACCAGTTTCAAAGCAGCTCTTTTGATGTAATCTTTAGTCTCAATCGTAACAGCCCTTCTCATTGACATTATGATTACACTAGCTGCCCTCATGATCTAGAATATCTAGTTGATAGGAATACTAAAATGCGATAGTGAAAACTGTATGTTGTATGCTCATTATAAGATAAAATGCTATCTTCTCTGACCTGATGTCTGAGAGGGGAGGGTAACAGCACAGTGTGAACATAGTGTAACACTATCACATCACTGGCTCTGAAAACAAAATTTTAGGAAGTTCAGAGCAGCAAAATAAAATGGACTTTGCTTGTTTAAGCCTTTTGGAAAGGATACAGGTGAGACCCTTGATGCAGGGCTGTGCACATTTTGGCACTGATCCGTAGCCGTGGTCAACGTGCATGCAAAACCAGATTGCTAATTATGGGTCCGGTCCTGGGATTCAGTAGGATATCATAAGCGAAAATATGATTTTAAGGCATTTGGAGTGATGAAAGTGTTAAGGACTTGTTTCAGCTGGCAAATCTCCTCTTTACTTATCCAATCCGGATTGTCAGGCTAAATGTATGATAATAACACAGAGTCCTAGAGAGGCAAAGGAGAAAGCCACAGAGGGTCATGTTAGTTGGAACCAGATAGGTTTTTTTCCCTGCCTATTTAGAACCCAAGTCATTGTTCAACAACAACAAAAAATTTATGAAAATACTCTCAATGATGCTTTTTATTTCCCTTTGAAGAAAGGAGGCAAACAAAAATAGGCAGATAATGTGATACTAATGTCAGCGTTTTCTTTCAAAATCTTTCTGCCTTTTTTTTTTTTTTTTCCCCTCCCTCCACATTAGGCAAATGTTGGAAACCTAATTTTGGTATCTTATCATCTAATCTTGTTAAAGAGATTTACCCAGGAGTGGGATATATTGAGTGAGATTATAAATGCATTGTAAAGTAAATCACAAGGTCAGGGCAGGGAGTCCATTATTCAGACAAGTGCTCTGAGCAAGGCTGGCTTGTTTGGGAATGCAAGTGTTGGGGCTCCTGAGAAGACCCTGCCAGCTTTTCTTTCTGACTTGCTAAATGGAGGAATCGTCGTAATTGATTAATTCCCACTCTTTAGCTCCATGGTGGATTTTTTTTTTTTTTTGCTTTTAAAAAAGTTACTGACAAATACTAGCTGGGGCCTTAAGCGACTCCTCTAGTCCCCCCTTTTAAAAGACTGGCTAAAGTTTATTTCTCATTTGTACTTTATGCACTGGCTTTTTGAGAATCCCTGGGAAGTTCATCTATTTTTTCTCAACCTTGTCCTTTGGCCACCAATATTTGGGCCCTTTTTAATGCTGTAGTTGACTGGTAAACTGTTTGTTAGTCCCTTGGTGTGTGTATGTGTATATATATATATA